TAGGAGACGTCCGGTCAATTTTCACAAATAAATTAACTGAATTCTTCAGATCGGCCAACCACTCCCAATAACTAAGTGTGCCTAGAAGTCATTCTGGTGGATTCTAGGTGATAGCTTAGGAAATGCTGCTTAGACAGTTAGCTTACTGACTGTCCGTATTGGTGGATTCCATATGTGCAGAAAAGCTGGGCAACCAAATCGATTCACGTGTGGCTATATTCACGGCGCACAATGGGCCTCGTAGCTCAGTGGTAGAGCGTTGGCTGTAGTAACGCTTGTCCTGCTGATTTGGGTTGGAATGCCATCGAGGCCACGCATTTTTCACAATTGGGTCAACTGAGATTTAAAATTGGCTAAGTTATCGTCAACTCCAAATTTACGCGCAAGTTCTTGCTCTATCGAGCTGTGTGGCATACTTTCGAATTCGTCGAAATTGACCCTAGAGTTGTTATATTTAAAACAAGGTGATAAATCCACCATTTCATATTTTCAAATGTGCCAAGCAGGAGAACAGTACTCCCAGGCACATATCCGTTGCTTATTAGTAAACGCGAGACAGAATAACATAAATACGGCAATTTCCACCACTGAGAAAAGGGTCAACAACTACACATTTTGAGGAAAACGTAATCCGTTAATCACCAAACACAAGCCACAAGAGTGGAACTGCTAGTAAGTTTATATTTTAATGTGATTGATCTACATTGGGAACTAGCCGTTCGCTAGTCTGTGCTTCCAACACAGCATTCTAATGTTGAATTAAAGAAACTGCAATTTAAGGTTTAGAAAGGAGGTGATTTTAACCTATGGGGACCGGTTTTTATGTGTCAGGCTCTAATTTGGATAACATTTATATATCTATATATCTGTTTAACTTGATGCCACATTTTCGCACCCAAGAATGGCCAACCGTGGGCAAAATGACCATGTCACTGATGTCATGTTTATCAAAAGTTGTCTGTCTTTGGTGCCAGGCAACTCCACCTGGAAGAGCTCTAAGTGCTCTGACTATGACATTTACACCCCTGGAAAATGTCAGAGAATCGGTAACTATGGTGCCCGAGCTCGCCTTGGGTCTTCACGATCCTGTCATGTTATCAGACTAATACATGTAATGCAGGTACAAGTCCTGCGCAATGCATCAAACATACACTGAGGCAGATTTTGGATGTCATTGTTCACGAAGACTGAAATGATATTTAACACTATCTGGATAAGTCTATTTCATCTTCTGGTGACGTAACCGTTAAATGAGATATGATCTTTTTACACTTATTTTTGACCATGTTCCGTTAAGTTGTGTGCTGTAACATGGCCTCCTACTGTTCAACTAGGTGTGATGCTACTTTAACCCACGAATATAACGCAAACATCGGCTATCGTCGGCTGGACAAAAGAGGCCAAGCATATTTATCCAATAAGCTACGTCTTCGTGTATGCTGTACCACTGGAGTCAGAAGGGGGCACACAGCAGTGCTATGGTACAACGCAAAACAACTGCACGCTGGAGAACCTACGACCTGACAGGGAGTACAATGTAACGGCCAAAACCTGTATAAATCTTGGTTACTGCACAGCTTTAACGGAACCAATCACAATAAGGACCACAAAGCCCGGTACGTTTACTAATTATGAAACTGCATAAGCTTATATTCAGAGAGAAAACCTAAGTCAACAAAACACATCTGCGTTTCAACGGGAATTTAGGAAGTTCATCTTATAAAGCTGAACGGCTGCCGTAAAATTAATAAATCGAAAACAATGTCAAGTTGTAAAGCAGGAAAATGCGAAGTCAAGCATTAATCAAACAGTAATTGTGATTAAAACTTAAACTTATTTTAAGAAGGAGTGGTTTAGGAAGTCTGGAGTTGTATTGAGCTACGTAAATGCGTGCAAATTTAGGGTTTACAAAGACGCCCTAATCCAGTTTCGCATTCACCAAGTGCTTTAATTAGTATCAAGAGAAGTAATGAGTCAACGTAATCTGGTATATGTTTTTCACATATGACAAAGATTCACTGCTGTCTATCCAGCAGGCTCATATCAATTTAAACAATTTAATGATTGGCTAACAAACCTGTTCCGATAGTTCTAGGAGGAGGATTTAAAATGAGCATACGATGCTAACCCCGAAACTCTTCATAAACGCCTACTATACTGTCTATAGTAATCGAACAAGTGGCTGAGGCGGTATACAAATGTAGTAACAGTAATTAACTTTAGGAGCTTAACGAAAGTAAAGTGACACTTAATGTGAAACCCCTGCGGCCCCTTTATTTATTGTATATTTGCACTGTCTAAAATCACAATTCATGAACGTTCTTCGCATTAATGAAATAAATACGGTGCAATTGTTATTGTCATTACATTGACAGAAGGGCACTTCGTCATGGTAAACCTGCCGTCCGGTAATATCACCAACTTGACGTCACGAGCACACCTTCAAATTCCGCATATTCAATTAACTTTAGAATACTGCCATGATATTTAAAAAAACCATGAAAATAGAATCTAATTTTAAAGTTCTGAAAAGGGAAATTATCAGAATGCTGTTTTTTATGCTCCTTCATCACCTTCTACAGACATTCTAGAAGCTCCTTCCGACGTCCAAGTCAGCAATGTGACGCCAACGGCCCTCGTGCTGACATGGATTCAGCCACTGGCTAGCACAGACAACCCCGTACAGTACAAGGTGTCCTTGAAGGCCAAATGTGATCCAACAATTCCGCAACTGACCTCTATCTGCGACAGAGATCTGGTTTGAGTAAACATATCCTGTTTGATTGAAAATATCTACAGTAACATAGATTACTCGATCACAGTGTCAACCTGTGCTACTCCCGACGCTTGTTCTGTGCCGACGGCCCCTGTCACCGGCATGCCTAAAGCAAAAGGTGGGTTTCCTTGAATTTCGGTGACGTTGAGCTTTACAAAGTGACCTATCAAAGTTTTGCAAAAAATCTTGGGCAGAGTAAGTTTGCCCACCAAATGGCTGAGGGCCAAAATTCGCCGATTTACTCGGAAGTGTCTGGTTGCAATCACTTTATTTACATGCTTTAATGTTATGCAAATGCGAAGTGAAAAGCTGAAGTCGTTTTGGTCACGGCAGAACTGGCTTTGGACAGGCTTTCTATTACACTTATGCATATAAAACGTTTCTCAATTATATAAATGCAGCCAGCTAACATTTAATTTCACTCGCTCACAAAAGACTGCCGTAGATTGCAGTAAAGCATGCTATTTGTGCCTTTAGCAAACGACTGATATAGCACTCACAGTTCACTGAATATATTTTTCGGAATACACGTTAACGGAATTGAGGTTGTGATACGTACACAGTACACCCGTAGCGTATTATTTTTACGGCTGGCCATCATTTATATATAATTATGTGGGGCTCAGCATTTGGTTGTGGAACACGTATTTCGCATTGTACCTTGGAGTTTAATTCAGAAAACGCACACTTCTGGTTTATACAGATGAGATGAACCCGGTTAACCTTGTTTTCCGAGGTTACACCTTATATATAACCTGTCCTATAGATACGTCAATACGGGCGTATTTAAAAAAGTCATACGGGGAGACAACCGTTGTCAGTCATTCATCAT